ACTCCGTCATCCTCACCCGAGAGTATACCACCCTTGTCTGATGCTTTTTCCGCTACTACTAGCACCTCAGTTGGATTATCACTAATGTCTGCTAGGGCAAGATCCTCATCTAGAAATCTCAACGACGACTCATATGCACCATGATACAATGTAAGGAAAAAGGAATTAATTAAAAAAAAATCAAAATCCAACAAATAAAACTGAGACTCCTTATAGTTCGGAGCCAATCCAATCGAGTTCAAAGAACGTAATTGACAATCATTGGACCATGGGACGATAGAGTATCATTAGCCTCTTGTGCAATCTGTGTGATCGATATGTACCGTGCTGTAGTAAAGGGTTGGTCTATCAGAGTAATGGTCAAGCTAGTTGGCTGAACATTCTTCCGTTTCTTACCAAGAAACAAATCCAACTATCCCACCTAATCTAGCACTGAGATTGCAACCGGTTTTCTCTTTTAAATGATGAATTTTTTATTCCTTTCACCTTCAGGGTGGTCCTAGCCTATCGATTTTTTGAAGGCGACACAAATCAGATCTTTGTTAGGGATGTCACTGCAGGGCTTTGATACATGCTATATCACAACACCAAGATGCTCACCGATTCAAATGAGAGGAGCACGAAGCAAATACTGAATAAAAGGATTCTCATCATGTTTTATTTATTATAATTATAGGTGAACAAAATTAAGGGAGTCCAATTATTAAGCCATTACTTAAACACTAAATGAAATCTAATTTTGCTTTTAATTTTCTTATTCTCATCGCATCGATTTAAAAAATTAGAAGAATCAGAGAACTAAAATATGCACATAAAAATATTCCAACACTAATTTTGAGGAGATTTTAATGGTCCAGAAGGAAAGAATACAACAAAAGAGAACCCATAGAGAAAAAATCATGAGACCCACTAGTCCAACCGAGAAGCTGCCTGGGCCAAGCCAACAAAGTCAAAGCTGACTGAACCTTGAGAAAGACGAAAGACTACTAGAGGGCACCAAAACAAGCCATAAGTTTGAAATGAGACAAAAAAGTATTCAAGCCAAATATCACAAAAGTGCAGATCCAGAGGAAAAATCAGTCCTCTAGTATCTCTATCCTAAAGATGTCCAAAGGCTCCTTATTTGAGATCATGAATTAATAATCAGGGCAGATCAATCAGCCGACCCAAATCGACCAAGATCAGCCGACCAAGCGAATGTCAGACGAGCGAGCTGATCTTTCCGACCCGAAGCCAATTAAGCTTAATCGGACGAGCTAGAGAGCAGCTGAACGATAAGCTCATACATATAAAATATCATAAATATTCTAATACAAACCCCTTTAAAGTGGGGGCAAAAGTGTAATATTATCTTTATATAACTTCTTCTCTATAAATAGGAGAATCGTTTTATGAATAAAACATGATTGATCACGACAGAGTATTATTCACTACTATTATCCTCTCTGTTAAGTATTGCTTTGATTAACCAAAGCAAATATTATTATAATAATTATGGAAAGCAATTTAATTTTATAATCATCGACAAACAATGCGTCGATTATAAAATTAAACTAATTTGAAGTAATTCGGATTTTATAATTTTCTAATCGTTAAAAATTATTAAAAGCAATTCTCTATGAATCGAACTTAATCTACAAAATTCAATAACGTAAAGGACAAGTCACACCACATCTTTGATATCTTAAATTTTTTGTTAGCATAACCGTGATGAATTAAAATAGCAGTTAAATTATTTTTTAAGCATGACAATGTGCATGCCAGGCTTGATTTAAAATGAGGGATAAAGAATAAGAAACATTGCTATTTACAAATCAAGCATCTACATAATTTTTCAATCTAAGAAACCCATACATTTACATGTGAATTTGATAAAAATGAAAAGTATGGGTTCGGTTTTTTTAATGGTCTTTCATATTTGATTGAGAATTTTAAAAATGAACGAAAGAGAGTGCTTGATTTGTAAATAACAATGTTTTGAGGGCAAGTGATTCTTAAAAATAGTGAGCATTTTTTATACATAGCACACAACTCTTATGCATTTATATATCTAACATCTAAATGTTTATATTTATATTTATAGCACTCAATAATTTTACATCACATCACAAATATCATCATTATTCATTTGTACAAGTGATGTACGCATTTTCATGCGTCAAGTGAATTAATTTGTTTTTGGAATTATTTGTGAAATTGATATTATACAATTCAGATAAAAAAATAAAAGATAAGTTAATAAATAGCACATCTAAAGTTTTTTTTTTTTTTTTTTTTTCTTTTGTGGGGTGCTGCAATGCTAAGCAAGGTGAAATTTGTGAGGTTAAATTAATGGCGATTTGTCGTTAGACGTGTAATTTATGATGAAACTAAACATATCTATAATAATGATTTGTGCTTATTATAATCATTTGTCAACGTGTAGCTCTAAAATTAAAATAGATTTTATATTGTATTGAATCAATATTTAGATGTATTACATGAAAGCGTAGGATGTTTACGAAAGGTCATTCTACTTGCTTTATAATTTATGGAAGATCATTTGGCCTGTTATGGAGGATTTTGTTTATTGTATTCAATCTATTATATCAAACCAAAATATTTTTTTGGTCTTTTTTGCTTTCTTAGAGAGATGAAAAACTTGTGGTGGCAATTGTGAAGCTTTGTTGAATTTTCTTAGTAAACAAAGGGAAGTACTATTGATCGTGCTTGGTGTTTGTAATTGCTCAAACTCTCACTTGTCATGATACTATTCATTTGAATTTAATAGCCTGGCAATTTATCCCATTACGGTAGCTTCTTAGGAGGTCAATCATCTCAATAATACTCTTATATGAGCATGCTTGAGTTTGGGTATCTAATAAAATTCTAATCATTACACACACACACACACACACACACAAACTCAATATTTAAAGAGTACAGCTTAATTCCATCTAAATGGTTTCACGATCAACTTCGGTAGAATAATTATTTTTTTATCAGTATTCTTAACTAGAATAATCCAACATGCATATATGATTTTAGAGGTGCCCTTGTAGATTCAAGAAGTGACTCCCTTGACGCAACACTTTGTTATGCATGGTGTTTAATTCCAATCTTCATGCTATTATGATCCTTCGATACCACTTGTAATAGTCTGAACTCTCATTTATCTAGATATCATCACATTGACCTAATAGTTTCACATTTTTGTCTTGTTGGTGTAAATTCTTAAGTCATCACACTTGCCAATAGTACTTTAATTTGAGTACGTTTTGCTTGGAAGTTTCTCATAAAATTTTAATTGTTACATCATAAGGTGTATCAATGTATAAGAGTTTAGTTTCATTCTACTTAGGGGATTTCACATTTTTCCACACATAAGCAACGTATATCATCGTCGATATTATTAACTCAGGATCATTCAATGGCCATATAAAATTTCAGAGGTGGCCCCAACAAATTCAAAAAATAACTTTCATCCTGTATCACATTGTTTTAGCTGAAGTTCAAAAAGTGAGTCCCATGATATAACATTTTGTAACGTATGACATTTAGTTCAAATCTCCAAACAGTAGTAAGGCTCAAATAAAATTTGTAAAAACCTGAACTTTCACGCATTGAAATATTGTTCGTGTTAAATTAGTAGGCTCATGATTTTATTTTATTTTGTAAATTTCTAAAAGATATGTCATCCAATAACGCCCTCATATAAGCATTCTAGCTTTAGAGTTTCAAATAAAATTCTAAGTGTTACCCTAAAGAACAAGTTTGAATCTTTATATGTGTGTGTGTGTGTCGTTAGTTGTGGCCTGTTGTTAGAACAGTCTCTTTGAAGGTCTTAGGTCCCCTTAGGTCACGCGTTCAAATCTTCTTCCGGCCAGTTTGTCGGTAGTGAGAGCGATCCTTGAATAGTTAGGTATATGAGGGCGGCTGGGGCCTCATATATATTAAAGTAATCAATTTGTTATTAAAATTTTCTTTATTATGATTTAAGCGGAATTTGGTTGAAACTTAGATTTATGCTAAATATGATTTATCAAATATGATAAATTCAGATTTATCAAATCCAGTATGCGACGGAGGAACTCACGAGCAATGATAGAATAAATTCATCTCACATTGAATTTAATAAATCTGGATTACCATCGTAAAAGAGACCGAATATCAGAATAAAAAAATTGAACATGAAAAAATTTGATTTAAAGGAACAATAAATTTAATATTGATGGTATTTGACTTGATTTAAATTAAATTCAGAGCTGAATCATATTAATAATATGCCACCAAACATGCACTTAGTCCAAAATTTTCTAAAATCCTGCCAATCATTGATGCCTAGTCATCAGCCTTCTATGCATCCACATGCCTTGCTGTTCCTATCCAATGCACGTCCGATCATTTTCCCTTTTGCATCTCCCACATGGTCCTAACCCCCTCTATTATTTTGTTTTCTTCGACTTTTTTATTAGCTTACTGTTTCCATGATCATCTATCCCCAATCAATTGAGGGAATTGGTAGCTCCCTGTTAATTGGCAGAATTTACTAAATCCACCCAAATATAAAAAACACAAGTTTTATGAATTTATAAAATTTTAAATTTAAGGGCCCAATTTTACCTTCCATTTATTTTAAATTTAAATTTAATAAATCTAACAAAAGAGTGAATTTAATGAATCAAAATCTACTAAATCCTACAAGCAGTAAATGCTTCTGCAGCCTAAAAAGACAAAAAAGAAACAACCGATTAGAGAAATGGGTTTGTCTTCTTCGATGCCAATTATATATTGTTCACACACAATGATTAAAAAATCGATTTTTGATTTCATTAATTATTGTAGTGGGCGCCCGAACGTAGAGGGAGATCGATACAGTCTCTAGCGGGTTATACCATCCATGAGAGTTTCGTATCTCGACGCTGCCATCCATGAGAGTTTCGTATCTCGACGCTGCGGCACGGCTTTTTCTTGTTTCTAGATGCTACTGCCATTAACTTCTTTTTCTCACCTAATTGTGGCTTCTTTTTTCTTATTTAAAAGTTGATGAAGTGGTCCACTCCATGTGGCTGCTTCTCCTTTGAAATCTGTATGGTTGAGCTTGAGCTTCCAACATTAGTTTACCTTCCCCTTTTTGAATGCTTTTTCAAATTGGGGAATATTTAACTGGTGGAGAGTTTTTCTCGGTTTGTGGGAATTCAGAGGACCGGAGAGGGAGAGGCGTTGCTTTCTTGCAGTCATTATTTGCTGTTATAGCATTGTTGAAAGAGATCTGGCGGAAGGTATGTGGTTTACTCTCAGTTCTGTATGTCACAATTTGATTTGCTCACTTTTGATTCTCTCTTTTATCTCTTTCATTTTCGTGAAGGTTTCATCACATTTTGTAAGCAACTTCTGCTATTCTGGTGTAGATTTGTTGGTCGGCGTTATAGTTCGTTCGATGGATCCCGAGTCTGCAAAGAGTGTTGATCATCAAAAGGTTGGTTTCAGAATGGAAATTAAGCTGCTGTTGTTGTTCTGAAATCGTTTGATCCGATTTTAGCATTTTTTGGGAACTCTTGTTTTGTTAAAGCTGATCAAATTAAAGCTGTGCATCTACTTATGTTGATGCATTTTGCTCCTGGAGTACTCTGTTTCTTTTATTTTTCAAATTTACTTTGGACATCTTTTTTATACAGATTTTTTTTTTCTAATAAATGGATTTCATAGTCTTTTGGGAATGAACTAAGCCTTTCTCATATTTATGAATGCCATTTTTTTGTTTCAGAAGAATTCGTGGAAGGCTGTCTTGCTTCTCGCATTTCAGAGTTTGGGAGTTGTGTACGGTGATTTGAGTATTTCTCCTCTATATGTCTACAAAACCACATTTGCAGAAGATATTGAGCATTCCGGTACAAATATAGAGATCTACGGCGTGCTTTCCTTTGTTTTCTGGACGCTTACGCTTGTGCCTTTGTTCAAGTATGTCTTCATAGTTCTTAGAGCAGATGATAATGGTGAGGGTAAGTACCGGCCAGATGAATCCTTGTTTTTATTTAGGGCTTCGGTTTTCCCGATTTCATTATCTTTGTGCCGCTGCAGGTGGCACTTTCGCTCTTTATTCTTTGATTTGCAGGCATGCAAATGTGAGCCTTATGCCAAATAGGCAGGATTCAGACGAAGAACTTTCTACCTACATAATAGATACCCCAGCAGATAGGCAAACTAATTCTAGGATCAAAATCTGGCTGGAGAAGCGCAGAACTTTGCATACTGCCCTTCTTATAGTAGTATTGCTTGGTACTGGAATGGTGATTGGAGATGGAGTCCTGACTCCAACTATGTCCGGTACATGTTCCTCATCCTAAAACGATAACCGTGTAACCTGCCAAATTTCTCTGAGTGTTTGCTAATACTTTCTCAGTTTCTTCCTCCAGTTTTCTCCGCAGTTTCAGGGCTGGAACTTTCAATGTCAAAGCAGCACCACGAATGTAAGTATTTTAGTTTGTGGTTTGTTCTTTCGATTTAAGATCATTTATTCTATCTTCCAATCTGGTATATTCAGTTGCATCTTGATATATATTCCTTACGGTTTTAGAAAACTTCTTAGTGAATAGCAGAACAAGTACTTCTTAAGTTTTAACCATATAGTCCTTCAAATGCAAATTTTAATTTCTCTTTGTTGCTGATCTGGAATCAGTCTGACACAAATACAATTATATAATGATAACATATTGACTTGAGAGTAATGATGTAGAATTCTATGGAAACAGCGGAATTTCTTATGTAATGTAGCGCTTCTTTGCAAGAAACCTAACCATTTAAATCTTCCGTTTCTTTTAGTCTAATGTTTCTTTGGCATTCCACGTGTATCTTTTTTTTTTTTTTAATGCAGAAAGAAAACCAAAATGTATGCCTTAACAAAGAAAATAATGAAATTAAATGAAATTTTAAATCTAACTATAAAGTAGGGACTATTTTATAAATATCAAAGAAGATATAATAATTCCCAATGAAACATGATAAATTGCGAATTATTTTTTGAGTTCAAGAAGTTGATTCATGATGAACAAAAGATAGAGAGGATTTTTGGGTAAAGTCAGAGTTTTATTTTGATATCCTTTGAATCCCTCGTCCTTTAGTGCCCGGCCCATCTTTTTTTTTTGGGATTTAAGTTAGAATTTTTGGATTATTTTTTTAACTTATTTTCTTTTTGCATTGGAATCGGAATATCCTTTTAATTTTTTGATATTTGACTTGATTTTCTCATTGCTTGATAATCTGTTTAATTTGAAGTTCGGCATTGTTGGTGAGCTGGCTTAAAAACATATCTAAAATCAATTATTTTGTACCCATTTTGTACAAATTAAAGCCCCACCTTGATACCACATGTCCAATTGCTTGTTTTAAGCTTGTTTGGAGTCATTTTCTTGTTCCCATCAAAGAAGTTAGGCTTGTTTTAAGCCTGCGAATCATTCACTTGAAAAATTGATCTCCAATTCGCCTCTCTCTCACATTGCTTTTTTGCTATTTTTATATGCTGCTGAATTTCTCTCTGTTACCGTCTATTTTATATTATGACTGGTGAATTATATCATATATTAGTCGAACTCATGGCTCTTAATGGTTTCTTTTGTTCAGATGCGGTGGTTCCTATCACCTGCTTTATAATAATATGTCTTTTTGCACTTCAACATTATGGCACTCATCGGGTTAGTTTCATATTTGCACCTATCATTTTGACCTGGCTGATTTGCATCAGTGCACTTGGCATATACAATATTGCTACGTGGAATCCAAGCATCTTCCAGGCACTTTCTCCATACTATATGTTCAATTTTCTGAAGAAAACGAAGAAAGGTGGTTGGATGTCATTGGGGGGAATCTTGTTATGCATCACAGGTATATTTTCAGCAGACCTTAAAAAAAGAAGGGAAATTACATACATAACATACAATTCTTATTTATTACACATCTCACACCTAAACTTTCATATTTACTTTAGCACTTTAGTGCTTTAAATATTTGCATGAGAAGGTGTATTTTACTTCTAAAAAGTGTTTATTGTGCCATTTTTGATGTGGTATTAAAGATTTGAGTGCTTTTTATGCAAATATGAAATTTTAGGTGTATTTCACTTTTGAAGTTAGGGTTGTAACCAACCAGATTTGAGCCAAGTTTATTCTGAATTGGACTTTGCTTTGACTATATTATAAGTTGTTTATGTTCAACTCGATCTCAAACTATTGCCAAGATTTAACATCTATTTTTATACTTGACTTGATTAAATTATGAGAAAAATTGTATTTGGCTTGTACTTAATTTGTCTACAATAATTGAATAAGTACTTCAACATGTTAATAAACATGCTAAAACTCAAATGTGTGTCAAGTTTTGAGTGAATAGGTGGAATCCTGAATAGGCTCGATGTCTTTTCCCTTTGCTTTCATTCCATTAAATAATAATCTTATAATCTATTTTAGGTACAAAATATTTTGTATAATCTATTTAGCTAACTTAATAATGCATATTCATAATTTAAATAATCAGCTAACTAGGAATTAAATCAGAATAAAGTAATTGGAAATAATTTAAATAAGAAAGCTCCTAATTATAGAAAACTTCTACTTTAGCTGCTTGATATACGTCATTCCTAATTGACATCCCTCATCAAATTAATGCTGATTGATCAAGAAGCATCAATTTGCAAACAATAAACTTTGTCGGGACCAACAATTCTCAAGCCGTGAGTGTCAAAGCCGACAGTGCTAAAACTGAGATTGCCGAAGCCTCAGAGACAACTCCTGAACCATAATATGATTTGAGCAAAGAAACGCAAGAAATCCTTTATCGTTGTCGTCCAGAAATTCGAATCATAGCCACAAGAAGGATTCACATCCAGTTACACGATCTAAATACTATCGATCATAGCCCAAAAGAAGGATTCGGTTACACAATCCAAATGCTACCAATCATAGCTCACAAGCAGGATCCAATTCACGATCCAATGCTACCGATCATAGCCTAAAAGTAGGATCCAGTTACATGATCAAAATGCTACCAATCATAGCCCACAAGTTGGATCCGCTTCCCGTCATACAATCCAAACGCTATTGATTCTTCCGGCGACAACGAGGATGATTTGTTCCCTGATTTTCACACAAAAAGTGCTGAGTCGAGATCAGGTGTGCAGATGAAAAAGGTAATGTCTCGTTGGCATGCAGATGAAGGTGACGAGTAAGAGAGAGCCGCTACAGGTGGAGTTCAAAAGAGTCCTGTTGAGACTAGCCGAGTCGAAGAGGAAGATGAAGTAGAATGAAGATGATGTAGGCGAAGAAATAATCAGATGTCGAGCATAAGATGAGAGATTCTAGACGATCAGACGAGCGATTCACTTCGGGTTCACCAGTTGAGCAGACGGACGAAACAGTTGCAGCGGACGAAGATCCCTTAGAACAATTCCAAGGTGGAGAGTGCGAAGTCGTTTCTACTTCCGTTACGAGGGGATTTGTTAAATGGGTGAATTAAGGCAAAGAAATAGTTCCTCTCTTCCCACAAGAAGACCGGCGGGAAGGGAGTCTAGACGGTCCTCCAACGACTACCGGTGGTTATGGGAAAAATTTGGCTCTGATACCATGTCAAGTTTTGAGTGAATAGGCTGAATCCTGAATAGGCTTGATTGTCTTTTCCCTTTGCTTTCATTCCATTAAATAATAATCATACAATCCATTTTAGGTACAAAATATAATCTATTTTTAATCTATTTTAGCTAACTTAATAATGCATATTCATAATCTAAATATTCAGCTAATTGGGAAATAAATCAGAATAAAGAAATTGAAAATAAGGAAGCTCCTAATTATAGAAAACTCCTAATTTAGCTACCTGATTTCCGTCTTTCCTAATTGGCAATGCGTGTTTCACTTTTTAAATAAAATTATTAATAAATTATTTTACAAATATAGACAGCTAAACATTTGAATAAATTTTGATTTAGTATCTAATTTGCTTACACTAATTAAATAGGATAATAATAAGATAT